ATCGCCCCTTTTTACTTACGTTTAGTTCTTGTTGTTTATCCAAATTTTGCTTACCCCTTCCTTAGAGAGAGGAGAGAGAATATTTTTGGCAATTAATCACTACCCCTAAGCCGAGAAGGTCAACCTTCACCCTCCCCACGTGCGAAGCGGGGCCGGGGGCCCACCTCTCTCTCTTCTTTCTTTCTCTCTCCTCTCTTCCCTCACCCTTTCTTTCTCTCTCCTCCGTTTTTTCCCTTTCCATTTCTTTCTCTCTCCTCTCTCTCTATTCCTTCATTTCTCTCTCCTCTCTTCTTTCTTCCCCCTCCCTTTTTCTCTCTCCTCTCTGTATTCTCTCTCCTCTCTTCTTTCTTCCCTCTCCTATTTTTTCTCTCCTCTCTTCTTTATTCCCTCTCCCATTTTCACTCTTCATTTTTCCTCTCCCATTCTTTCTCTCTCCTCTCTCTCTTCTCTCTTCTTCCCGTTCCCTCTTCTAGACCCTTCTTCTCTACTTCTTTTTTCCCCATCTCTTCTTTCCTCTCTCTTCTTTCTCACTCCCCTTCTCTCTCTTCTTTTTTCTCCCTCCTCTAGATCTTTCTTCTCTCTTCTCTCTACTTCTCTCCCTATCTCTCTTCCTTACTCTATCTTCTCTCACTCCTCTCCCTTTCTCTCTTCTAAATTCTCTCTCCTCCCAAAGTGGTGACCTCAACCGCCGTCTTGACCTCTCTCTTTTTTCTAGCTCCTTATTCTCCCTCACTTCTCTCTTTCTCTCTTCTATCTTCTCTCTCCTCCCTAAGTGGCGGTCACAGCCGCTGTATCGCCCTCTCTCTTTCTTCTAACCCTTTTTCTCTCTTCTATCTTCTCTCTCCTCCAACGGCAGCCTCAACTGCTGTCTCGATCTCTCTCTATCTTCTAGCCCCTTCGTCTCCCTCACTTCTCTCTTTTTCTTTTCTATCTTCTCTCTCCTCCACTAGTGGCAGCCTCAACCGCCGTCTCGCTCTCCATCCCCTTCTTTTAGCCCTCTTCTTCTTTCTAACTTCGCTCTCTTTCTCTTCTATCTTCTCTCTCCTTTCCCTAAGCAATGGCTTAGGCCATCGCGTCACTTCCTCTCTCTATCTATCTCTCCCTATCCTCTCTCCTATCTTTTCTCTCTCTAACTTCTTTTCTCTCTATTCTTTCCCTCTCTACCTCGCTCTATCTTTGTCTCTCCTCTCCTTCCTTTCTCTATCTTCCCTCCTCTCCTTTCTCTCTTCTCTCTCTCGTTCCTCCCTTCCTATACTCTCTCACTTTCTTTCCTCTTCTCTCGTTCCTGTCTCTCTTCTCTCTCCCCTCTATCGCCTCCCTTTCTCCCTCTTTCCATCTCCATTATCTTTCTCTTTTTCTCTCCTCTCCCTGGGCGACAGCCTAAGAAGATGTCATTCCTTCTCTCCCTCACTCTTCTTGCCCCTTTCCCTCTCTCTTTCTCTCTTCCCCTCTCTCATTTATTAGCTTTTCTCTCATCTCTCATCCCCTCCTCGAGTGACGGCCTAGGTCATCAGCTCACTCTCTTTGCTCTCTTTTATCTTTAAGGCAGGGGCCTAAGCCGTTGGTCTTCTCATCTTCCTTCTCCCTCTCCCCCTTAAAAATAAGGTATATGTTGTGAGTCATTTGTTAAGAAGATGCCGTGAGACCGTCTAATTGACACGGACTCTATGACACCACCTCCCCCCCTTCTTTTTTAGGTAAACACGTATGTGCATACTCACTTGATGACAAGCTGGGGTCCTCTGACCCACTTGTCTAGACATCTCATGTGTGTTTGTGGTTGCAAGAAGGAAGAAAGGAAGTCAAGGGAATTGAGTCCGAATCAGCCTTAGGCTTGGGGGGCTTTCTTCGTGATCTAAGAGAGCGCCCATGCGAGTAGCTCGAGTGTGTCAGGGACCCATCGTGAGGTAAGTCCCGCCTCACGACCTTAATTCATCTCTCACTAGTTGGTACCCTGCCTGCACAATGCACACATATCTCCTATGCATGTCACAGTTCCCGAGAAACGATCTCAGGATCCGGGCCACCACGCATCCGGATCCCAGCAGCCGGGGTCTTCACATCAAGACCCGAGGCAAGATCGAGGCACCCAACCACTCATGTGAAACACCCCCTCCGCACAATAGAATTGATGCCTTATGTGAAAATTAGTGTCTCAAACATTGCTAGTTTGACTTGGAACCATCCCTAACGAACTAGGATAACTGGTTAAGCATGTTGAGTCTCAACCAAATTAGGCAAGCAGGCCTATAAAGCACTTGTATAGGCTTTATTGCTTGAGAAACAAATTTGTAGATTTTTCTTTTTTAATTTTGTGTTTTTGGATCAATAATTGATCCTACATTGTATTAAGCCCTCATTGATCCATTTGAGTATAAATCGATTTCATATTAACTAGAAACAAGATTGGATTGCTCGATTTTTCATTATTTCACGTTGATTCATCAAAGTAACAATTTTTGGTGCTCAAAATAACCAATCCACCAAACTATCACAGACTCTATCGAATCATAATCAAATGACTTTGAATTTGTTCTATTAGAACGGTTATTGAGCCTTGTAACAAAAGCTTATATTTTTAGGAGTTTTCTGAATAAGTTTTCTCGGATTCAATTTTCTTTTGGAGTTTGAATCAAATATTTATTAAGGATTTTGATCTTGAAGATTTTACGATCGTATATGATTTTTTTGAATAATATTTGTATTTATTTTTACTCTTTTAGGCTCAGCTTAGGTGTTCCTAACAATTTATGTGATCCAAAACTTTTTGGAGTACAAATCAAATATTTCTTTGATTATGATCTAGAAGTGTTTAGGATTGATTTAAAGTACATATTTATCTTTTTTCAGTAGTAAGGATATTTGTTTATTTTTTGGCTCAATTTAGAGTTTTCGTAAAAAAAAGTACTCTAATACAAACTTTCTTGGGTATTCAACCTATGATTTCTATGAGGATTTTGATCCAAAAGAGATTATAATTGATTTAAAAGAGACACTTGATTTTTTTCAATGATATTTGTATTTATTTTAATTTTTTTTGGCTTGATTTGAGGTTTTTCCAAAACTTTTTCTCTATCTGAAACTTTTTTGAGTTTCAATCAAATGATTTTTTGGGGATTTTGATCCAAAAGGGGTGAGGAGTGATTAAACTAGGTATTTGGTTTTTCGTAATGATATTTATGTTATTTTTTTCTAGTTTAGATTTTTCTTGAAACGTTTCTAGAGAGGCTCTAAATGATTTTCCTTTTCTATCATATATTCGGTTAGAAAGCATTTAAACAATTATTATATTATCTTTTCTCTAATTTTATTGACATCATTTTTTTGGGCTGGTGCTCTAGTTTATTGAAAATATGCATAGGATTTTTTAAGAAATTGGAATGTTTTGAAATGTTATTTTTTCTTTTTATTCTAGGTTGAATTAGATTACCTAGTTAAAACTTTTTGTTAGTTTTTGCCCGATTTAAAATAGAATCGATATTTCTTTGCTTGGTTTTGTATTTTTCATAAAAAAAGATCATTTTTTTCTAAACGAGTGCATGGCAAGACTATGAGCGTCACGATTTGGATAAGCCACCATGTCTTTCCGTTTGATTTTAAATTGTATGTTTTGCTTCATTTCTATCAAAATATTGTTATTTAATCGTCCCTTTGGATGTCGCGATTGAGATTTTATACATTTTAAAGTTTTTAATTGAAAAATGAGTGTGACACTTAAAAACTCCTTTTTTTTTTTTGGGGTAAGTTAGTGGGGGAGAAAGCCCTTATCCGTTATTCATTCATAAGTAAGAAATATAAAGTTTATAATTCATTACTGTAAAAAACCCCTAGAACAAGGCACGTGTGACACTTAGAAACTCGACTTCACACTTTCTTTGATAATTTCATCAAACTATGATGGCCTATTTGTCAATTGTTTTTTATCATATCAACTCAATTTGAGATTTAATTTTTCTTTTTTCAAACTAGATGTGACTGAATACGTCAAACCAATATGCTGGACATTATTCATTATTTAACCACCCGCCTTGCTTTTTAGCACCGGTGAAAATAAAGCGGCTTGCGAGGGATACTTATGGTGATTGTCTCATTTCTTTCATACTACATAGGAAAGCTGCACCAGCTACACCTCAAAAGTCCAATAGAAAAATAAAGTTCGAAAGTTGGAAAATCTTCTAATTGATCATCTTGACCTTAAAGTATCTGGATATAAAGAAACAAGCGAATTTTAAGTCCTAAAATATCGTATGTTTATGGACCTGCTTGATCATCACCATTGTTAGAAATTTTTGCTTTTCAATTGGCATGGAACATACATGAAATTTTTGCTTTTCAATTGGCATGGAACATATATTTTCATGTGCTCCTCAATTGTATAATATAAGGTGAACATCTTATACAAACCTTAGAGTTTCTGTAAGGCCTAGGCCTTGAGCATACAAGTAAAGCCTCACATTAGAACATTGTCCATAAATCACTTTGGGCATGAGAAACCCTTGTGATGGCTGTTAAATCTATTTATATCACCAATTATGAAATTTGTAGCTCCGTGTGATGATTGTAAAATCTATTTCGATCATCGATTATAAAATTTGTAGCTTAGAGGAATAGATCTTATACATTTGTTAAACTTGAAAATGAACGGTCTAGATAATGTAGTAGAATATACACTATTTTTAAATCTTTGAATCATCTTTTTTTAGGGGAAAAAGTTCATATAAGGTTGACATCTTAAAATATAGAATTAAGATGCACCTAAAAATTCAATTGAAAAAAAAGGCTATCTTGAATTTAGAAAACCGTCTAATTGATCATCTCGACATCATGATATAGAGATATGGAAAAAAAAATTTCAAATTCAAAAATATTATCTTGTAACATATTATCTTGACCGTTAATTTTTTCCAAAATTACTCCAAAATTACATCTCATGTATTACTTTGATTGATTAAGGTTGCGACCTCATACAACCCACACCCTTCTCTTTTACACTATGATAGGGTAGAGACAATCAATTTGATGGTTTTTCCAAATTAAAAGTCGAGTTTTTTTGTTAGATTTAAGAAGCAGCTTTAGTTTTTTATGCAAGGCGGAGCTATTACTCCGTTTTTCTTTTATTTTTGTATTCTCTTTCCCGCGATACCTTTGCACTGCAGAGTCAAGGTTTTTCTTCTGCCCCTCCACGCCTGCAAAAATTTCATGATCATTCTACTCTTTAGTAACACAAGAAGACGAAGCTAGGGTTTTGTATCAGAGAAGAAGAAAGATGAGTACAGTGGACAAAATGCTGATCAAGGGTATCCGTAGCTTCAGCCCTGATAATAAAAACGCCATTACTTTCTACAAACCTCTTACCCTCATCGTTGGACCCAATGGAGCTGGCAAGACAGTGGGTGCCCTTTCTCTCTCTACCACTGCCTCCTTGAACAATAATTTTTTCGTTCTATTCATCTCTCTCTTTCTATCTTCCCCTCTCTCTCTATGTCTAATTCTTTCTCCGTCTTCCTTTATCTCCGTCTCGCTTTTCATTTCTCTCTGGGTCTCTGGCTATTTCGATTTTTCACCGAGTTGTTACTGAATGATTTGTATAACTTGCAGACGATAATCGAATGCCTGAAGCATGCTTGCACAGGTGAGCTGCCCCCAAATGCAAGGTCTGGTCATAGTTTTATCCATGACCCTAAGGTACCCTTCCCGGCCTTTCAATTTTAATGGACTTTTATTTTGACCAACCAAGAATATTAGTGATCAAATGGTGAATGGGTATAAGATTATATTGTGAAAAAGAACTATTGGATTTAGGTTGCTGGAGAAACAGAGACAAAAGGGCAAATAAAACTGAGGTTCAAAACAGCAGCTAGTAAGGATGTGGTCTGTATTCGATCGTTTCAGTTGACTCAAAAGGCTTCAAAAATGGAGTACAAGGCCATTGAGAGTGTTTTACAGACCGTCAATCCTCATACTGGAGAGGTAAGGTTTTTGAGTAACTTAATTCTATGATTTTGACCTATTTGACAGAAAAAATGGGCTGTAGCTTGTGTATTGTTTGTTAAAATTTTCATATTAAAGGAATGAGTATGATAAGGATGTCTTATTCTCTGTTTGATATGGATTTGGACGAACTTTCGAATTTGTCAGCTAAAGTTATCTCTTCCTCTTATTTACTGCTTTCCCTAAAGATTCTTTGCCTTATAGTTTTGGAAGCTTGGCCAATTTCTCAATTTCACATATTGTTCATGGTGGATCTCATATTGTCATCTGACACAAGCACCGTTTGCTAATTTTATTCGAGCAAATTCTAATATTGTATATTTCATGATGGATCCTTCATCCATTGTGATCTAATTTGTCTCGTTTATTTGTACTCCATGCATACAGAAAGTTTGTTTGAGTTACAGATGTGCTGATATGGACAGAGAAATTCCTGCATTGATGGGCGTCTCAAAGGCTATTCTGGAAAACGTCATATTTGTGCATCAGGATGAGGCAAATTGGCCTCTACATGATCCATCGACCTTGAAGAAGAAATTTGATGACATCTTCTCTGCTACAAGGTGAATTATCATATCAATTCCGAACATAATTTTATTATGTTTCTCTTGATCAGCATATGCTAAGGAGCCTTATCCGTTATTATATGTAACTCATGTATTCTATCTCTTTTTTATTAATTTCCTATCCTCTGTATTCTGATTTTGTTAATAGCGTGCTTCAATCTTTGAGGTTTTTCCTTCTAGTATTCAGTGTCGATGTTATTGGTTTGTGCTTCAAGAGTGGTATTAGTAGCTGTTTTTTTCTGTCGCTCTTTAATCTAGACTTTGGATGCCTGTATGTAGTTTCAAATTACCTCTCAATAATACTTCAAGTAATATGGCAATTGTAATGGACCACTTGATTATGAGAATCTCGATACTTTATCCGCTGGCCATTTCTCTTCTCATTGCTATCTTGACTATGCTGCTACCAACTACATTCTGGTGGTATTTCTCTATTTCACTTCCCTTAGTTACTAGGATGCATAAAGTTTTTTCTTGGTAATGGTTACTTTCATGGCAGTTATAGAAAAGTGTCTCTACAGAATGCTACACTTTTGTTGGGTCACCTTCCTAACTTTTGAGATTGATACATTTTAAAAAAGGAAAGTACTAACCATGTCTTTTTGGGGTTGATCAAGGATCCTGGTATCTTTGGTCCGGGTTGTTAGACAAGATCTAACCCATGCAAGCATGTGGACTGGATACGGGCCCAGAATCATGCGAGTTATAGTTGTTAGATCTTCATGGTTCTTTGTTATTGATCATCCATGCACTGCATTTGAGACCCTGATGTTGAGTGAATGGGGTTCCCCCACAAAGTTGGGTGCTTAAATTACCTATATATAT